TGCAGCTCTCCCCAGCCCCAGCTCAGGATGCTGGGCTGGGGCACGGCCCCCCGCCCGCCGGCTCTGCTCACACAAAGGCCCCTTGTGCCCACGGGACTGACATTCCTACAGCCGCAGGCCGGGGGCAAAGTGCAGCCGAGGGGGAGACGGGACCAGAGCCCAGCTGCTGGGGCAGCTGGTGGGGGCAGGCATGGTCCTGCCCCCCCCTCCTGTGCCTGGAGGATGGACATGAGCAGCTGGTGGGAGAGGGGGGACCCCCGGGGTGAGCAGGCGACTCTGGGCTGTGGGAGGCAGGGGCACAGACTGTGAGAGGAGATGCTGTGATGCTGGGGAGCAGGAGCAGTGGTGCTGCGCACCCACGGGTGCTGCCTGCCCACCTCGTGCACTCCCACCCAAGGCAGACCTGTGGGGTAGGTGTGGGAAAGGGCTAGCTTTCGCTGGCTAGCGCCCATCGCAAGACAAACCCTAGGCTAAGAGCAGTTTTGGCCACATCTGGCCCCCAGCCCCTCCTGCTCCTCACCTTACACCAGCATTTAAGGACTCTGCTGGGCCTCTTTGTCCCCTTTGCAACAAGGGGGACGAGTCAGGCTACTCTTCATGGCATTAGCCAGCAGCTGGGGACCCCCACCTGCCAACCCCCGTCGATACTGGCCTGCCAGCTGCTGGGGCCGACGAGGGAAGGGATCTGTCAGCTGGCACCCAGAGGGAGGGAGGCAGGGGGCTTCTGGTAAGGCTATGCCGAAGGCACCTGTCATCCCGAAGCCAGGGTGTCACCACGCCGTACAGTCAGGCCTGTGTGCGTTACGAGGCCCCGCAGCTGGGACAGCAATGACATGCTTGTCCCTGTGTCCCGTCCCCACCTGAGCCTTTGCTTCCTGGGGGCTTTAGGGTTGCACAGAGGAGCGGGGAGCCTGGGCTGCCAAGCCCCAAGGTACCCCTGCTCCACAGGGGGCAGCTCAGCTCATAGCCAAGAGCCAAGTTCAAGTAGCCCACCTCCATCCAGCCCCCAGGGAGCCTCCGGAGGACAGGGCAGCCTGGGGAGGCGGCTAGGGGGTTGCTCCCTCCTGCTGTTGCACCTCAGCTCCCCTCCATGCTCTGAGCCAGGTTGGCTTGCCCTAGAGCTGGGTGTTGTCCCACTGTGGGGAGATGGGTCCCAGAGAGCTGGGCTGGCACAAAGTGCACCCACCTAAGGGACATTGAGATACTGGGGGGGATAAGGTGCACTCCTTTTCCCAGTGCTGAGCACCCCTGGGGCCATCTGGGCTGTGATGCCCTGCTGGGGCGTCAGCAAGGGGGAGGATGCACATGCTGGCAGCAAGTCCTGCTCTGAGCCAGGCAGTGAGAAGCCCCACCACCCAGCCCTCCACTCATTTTCTTGGAAGGATTTTGCCTCCAGCTGTAACCTGCGCAGCCTCAAAGGAAGCAGGGGAAAACATCGGCCTCACACAGCCCCTACCCAGGGTCACGTACCTCCTGTGGTCCCTTCCCAGGGTCCAGAGCTCTAGGCTGCCCTCTACTCCCACCCACTCCAGAGTTAACTCCATCCTATCCAAGCAGACCCTCTTTCCCCTCCCCAACCTCCCCAAGACACCTTTTTTTTAATAGCAGACCCCAGCTCTGCCACCAGCAGAGACCTTGACAAGGGGCTGGCCAGGGCAGCAAACCATGACCAACATTAATCCACCCTAGGGCAAAGTCCACCAGGCCAAATCCAGTCTCGCTGACACTGGGCTGCTGGTAAGGCAGGGGAATGGTGAGTTGAAACTGCTCCAGCTGCTTGCGTGGCAGAGGCAGCCAGCGGTGCCCTGGGGAGGTCTTTGGGACACCGTGGCCAGACCCAGGGCTCCCCTAGCTAAGCCTGAGCATGGCTGCACCCACATACCTGGGGCACAGGCTAGGGTGAAGCTGCCCTGGCCCCCCAGCCCAGCCCAGCACTAACACACTCCTCCTCCCACCACCACCAGGGAGAAAGCACCAGCTTTTCCTCCACTTGAAAAGTCCCTAGGATAGCCGCACAGCCCTGCTAACAGGAGGCTGCTTGCTCTCACTTCGAAGAGCAGCGCTCCCTTGCACCTCTCTGACGTGGTGCTGCACCTGTGTGTCGGCATTAAGACCCCCCTACAAAGGAAGAGGCAAGTTTCATAAAATCCTAGAGGTTAGGGACCCCCCTACCCCCATGGCAAGACCTGTACCTGGTGGTCCTCCTCCACCTGTGGCCCAGGCTGGGCAAGCAGCGTGTCCTGGGCTTGGCTCTGCATCTCATCCCCCCCAACCCAGGCCACGGTGAGCAGATGGAGGACGCGACCCCAAGTCACTGCCTGGGCCACATGTCCAACAGATCTCAGTTTATTCCCGGTGTGCGCAGCGAGCGGGGTGAGGAAGCGGAGCTACCGGGCGGGCAGCAGTGGTTATTGCTGCAGGTGCGTCCTCCAGCGATGACGGGATCTGGGGGAAGCTGACTGCCTGCCTACCTGCCTCTACAGGGCAAAGGATGGGCTGTCGCCCACCGCCAAGCTGGAGCCACCCCATTACCCCAGAAGGTGAGGGGAGTGGAGGAGCACAAAGTGCAAATATGTTGGCACGGGAGTCCATCTGCACTGGGCAAAGGGGCCCAAGGGAAGAGGAGAGTGTAACAGTGTAGGAGGGTGAGGGAAAGGGAAAAAAAAAAAAACCCAAACAAAGCCAACTGTGTGCAGGAGAAGAGCCCCTCAAGCCACCATCCCCTCCTCTTTGGGGGAAAGCATCACCTCTTGGTTGCTGCCCCCCCTCCAGCCCTGCTGTGGGCCATAAGCAGGGGCAGCAGATGCCCCAGGAGCTCCCAGGGATAGAAGGGGAGGTCAGGCCACTGTGACGGTGGTGGCATTGCTGTGCCCATGCAGAAGAGAGGAGTTTCTGCTGCACTACAGGGTGCCATGTGTTCACATGGTGGGGGAGCCCCCAAACATTCACTGCTTAAGTTGCAGGGCTCGACCAGTGGTGGGGCAAAGGCAGGGGCATGGAGGTGGGAGGGATGTGTTGAAGGCCACGCAGTAAGAGCCAGTGGGCTCCATGCTTTGGTCATACTTAGTGGTGATAAGTGCAGTGCAAGGGCTTGAAGAAGAGGAGTATGGCCCTTCCTCCTCCCAGAAGGCCACTCTGGCTCCCTGGGAACCTGCTGCCTTTGCCTGAGCAAGGCAGTTACTGCTGATGCTTCCAGGTGTGCACAGAGATAGGCAAGGCATGCCAGCGGGGATGGGACAGCACTAGAGCAAGTGATACAAGTCCCCCCCTTTCTTCCCCCTGCAGCTCCCACCTCTCCCTGTTCCATAGTGGGCCCCCAGCCTGCTCCTTCACTCCCGCCAAGCTTGGTGCAGGGATGCACAGGCACCCCATGCACCCCATGCTGCTTGCTCTCCTCCTGTTCTGGGGTGGGGAGAGAGGAGGGGGGGAGTGGAAAGAAGCCTAGCCCAGAAGAGGAGAAGGGCATCCCCTGCCTGCCTTGACCCCTGGTCCACTGGAGAGGGTGGCGCAGGGCTTGCTGGGAGGCAGGGCTGGTGGCTCAGCATGGGATGGAGCAAAGGGGGAAGAGTATCCTGTGTCCACAGATCCAAGGGGAGGCACTTGGAGGGGGCCTGGCCTGCTGGGGTGTCCCAGCCACAGTGGATCTGTCGTGGCTCCTAACCGCACATCGTCAGACACTGGGAAGGAGAGGGAGAAGGGATGAGCAGGGGCTGGTGCATTTTTTACATGCCCTCATGTGTCAACTTTGACAGCCCTCCAAGAAACATGGAGCCTGCAGCAATCTCATTTTCTCATCTTTATCTTTTATGGGTTCTTTCC